AGATCCACCAGAGCGTCCACAGGGCAAAGGTGAGAAAGGAGGTGGTAAGGCCGGGATGAATCATTGAGTCATTGGTGAAGCTGCCATGGGTTTGTTTTTTTTTTGTTCTTGTTGTCGTCGTTCTGTTTCTCGGGATTTCTCGGGAAAATGATAGGAACACCCATGGATCTTACCCATCAGTTTCACCATTCAAATATGGGGGGTTGCCAGCTTGGGTGGCGCTGCACCCAAAATTATCCATAGGATCCAAGTGGCTTGTGGCTTGCAGTTGCCCCTAAAGTTGGTTATTGCTGCTGCTAAGATCTGCTAAGTTGTAAGTTTTTGCTTGGCTTTGTCCAACAATGCGGAGTATGCCCATGTATCCCAATATGGCAACTTTAACAAGGAAAATGATGATAGAAGGTCATAAACCATTAACAAAAATATATACAAATAAGAAGCGGCGCAACATTTCAAAGAAAGGCGTATGTATCAATTGGTTATCGCTTCTGGTCTCATGACAGATAGAGTGGTTCCTCAAAGCTTGGTACCTCAAGTCGTAGGAAACCATTGGAATGATGGCATCAAAATACGCACACGTTACACACTCGTGCATATGTTATATATACGTATTATATCGTATTATATTGTATTGTATTATTGTGTTTATATTTATATTTATATGTGCATTTATATTTGCATTTACATTATATTATATAGATACCTTTTTCGAGCTTATGGTCCTCCCAATGAACCCCAGTAGCCGCCATAGTAGGTTTGGGCCCATTTTGAGACAGCCCAGATCCAGGGAAAAGATAGAGACCGAGGAGACACCCGGCAGGACCTTTGGAACTGTGGGTGGCCATCATGTGTTGCAAGTAGCACACTGAACTGATGTCAATCAAAACATAATTACATAAAATATCATAAAATCACATGTTGTTTTGTTTTTCTCATTCATTTTGTACACTTTTTCCCATCAGCTGATCCATCCTGCCCCCACCTTGCGGCGCAGGACCGTGGCGACCGTGGCCACGACCGCGGCGACCGCGCGACCGCGCGCGACCGGGACCGGGGCGCCGCTCGCGGTCGCAGCTCGCGGCGCCGTTCCTCGCGTCCGCGGCGCCGGGAGTCGTTCGCTTCCTTCTCTCCACGACTGCGGGAGCACAGCCCGGAAAGGAAGCGAAGTGCTGACAGCCACGTGGACCAAAAAGCGATGTGATTTATTTGGGTTAGATGGAAAATTGGAAAAATGGTGACCTAATCATACTTCACCAACTAGAATGGTGGTAAAATACTGGTAAAATGCGGGTGGTTTATGTTAGGAAAGCAATCATTTTGACCAACTGTATTTGTTGATGGTTTTGTTGGCACTCATTTATGGTAAAACTGGGGGATGTTTTGATAGATGCTGGGAACGCAGAAAAAAATTGGTGACTTAACCAAGAAGAATGGTGGCAGAAAAATATGGAATTAATTTGGAGGATGATGTACTTGGTAAGTCATGGGTCATTAAATGTCCCCATTGAACATCACCCAACCATTAGGTATATGGTCTATAATGGGTACTATAAGGTGATGTCCAATATACCCAAAATGGGACAGTTACCAACCCCCGTAAGTGGCTAATATATAGATTTAATAGTCATATATATATATATATATGGGTCCATTCCCTGTCATTCATGGCTACTATCAACACAGGTGTGTCGTGTTTGGATTTGGGGGTACCCTATTTTCAGACAAAACCAAAATAGATTTCATTAACTATACCCATTTAAATTCCCAGTAGATTCTATAAATGTATCAAAAGCAAACATATTTAATACCATTGGCATTACCATCCCGACTATCCCCATTCATATCCCCATTTACTGCAAGATCCGCATTAAGAGTTATCCCGTTTTCCCATTCATTGCCTGATTCACAATAATTCACCAAGCTGAAAATACCTGACATGTTCAGCCAGAGATGATTCCCCTCTCATCCTAATCATCATTCCAGTGAAATTCATCTGGCTTAGTAAGTCCCCTCAGTAGGTCTACTTATCACTCATAACTATGGTGATAGAACTGGATATTAACTGGATATTTAAATGGGGATGCTATACCAGCGGAATACTCATTGGATATATCGAATCCTCATTTTGGCATTACTGATATGTTGGTAGTTTGCCAGCAGTTATGAGTTATGACGGTATCAATGGTCATTTCAGGAACCTAAATTGGAGGTACCTACCATATATAAGGCCTATGTAAGGGCTATGTAAGGATATATCCCCACAAAATATGGCCTTATATGGTACAGTACCTCAATTTTACGATCCTGGAATTCCCATTGAGGTTATGACAATTATGGAATATCTCCTGGCCAGCTACTGGTTTTAACCAACAGTGATGGGGATTTGAGCCATGGAATACATGGGGAAGAATGGGTTTTCCGAAGGCATTTGTTCTTCGGATTGTTGCTGGATTGTGGCACTTAGATACAGTTTCAATAGTATGATATAGTTCCCCGTATGTGCGACGTACAATTTCTAGGACGTCTAGATGTGATTGTTTTCATCGTTTTGTTTGCAGACCGAAAGGTTCAGGGATGTCTTTGATGATTTGGGCTCAACGGTCCAACGGTTGTCCGAGGTCAAACATAAGAATAAGGATGAATAAGGTAATGTAAGAAACTCATGCAGACTCACTGCTAAACCATCGCAAATTTTACCATTTATTTTGGGAGGCTTTCAACCTTTTGACGTGACAAGACCAATGACGAGCTGACCACACTGGATGTACACGAGCTTGCTGGCTCGTAGTTTCAATCATCTACCAACATGAGGCTCCCTCCGACTTAAAGCATGGATAGATAAAGACACGCACACACACACACACCCGTATGTATCTATCTCGTTCTATATATATATATATCTATCTCTCTCTCTCTCTCTAAACGTACAATTAGTAATGTATACATCTCTCTCTCTCTCTATGTATATACACACGCCTAGAACCCGGGATGGCATCGGATATCTGTTCAGTCTGGGAATGGGGGAATTGCTTGTTCAGTCTGCGCAGAGACAAAACTTCCTGCATCCAAGGAGACAAAGAGAAAGAGAAGGAAAAAGAGAAGGAAAAAGAGCCGGAACAAGAGGAAAACATGGAAAAGGAAAAGCCTCTTGGCTGAAATTGAAGGTTGGAACCAAAGGATGTGTGGATACATTGTGGACACATACCCATACTCTCCTTGAAAGTGAGTTCTTGTCCAAAATTCACACCTTTGGTGGAAAGTGTCCATGAGATTTCTGCGCCAGGCAGGAGTGAACATGGCGAACTGCATGGCGGACCGGACCTGGGGCCGATCCATCGTCCGGGGAGTACAAGTTCGCTCAAAACGTAGGGTTTCTTTCTTTCGAAGACCCAGATCTACATGGTTTCTATCATAGTTGATGTTAGTTGATGTTAGTTGATGTTTGTGTAATTCTATTTGTTAATGGGTTTTGGTTCTCTGGACTTGGCCCCTCGGCCGCGCTGAATACTGACCCGTAAATGATTGCCTGAAGACTGGCAGTGCAGCGGTAGTCTCTCGCTTCCTTCCACTGCATCAAGGCGGTCATCCGTCAGCCTGGGAACACGCACGAAGGCATTCTGAATCCACTCCTTGGCTTCACCATATAAGGTAGATCAAGTTAGCAACATTTCAAGAATGATCGCAGGTGTTTGTACTGCATCACTGCATATCATTCAGAGGGAACACTTGGAAAACATGGAAAAACTATATGAAAACGAGTATTGTCAGCTTTTCACACCAGAATGTGCTGATGGTGGCTTGCCGTATGCCCTATTTGTTTGGAAGTGGAAGGTGATGAAATGTAAAATGCCCAGATTTGTTTGATTTATTTGTCTTCCTTGACCCATTTTATTCCAAGCAGCCCATAGCATAGCAATCATGTGCTCCCAGACCCACTGGCTGACGATCTAATGTTCTACAGTCTATGAGTCGACCGTCTGGTGCTTGCACTTTGCGGCGTTGTGTAAAAACATTTGCAGGCTGCTAGCTGAGGCACCGTCTGTTCGAAGTGCTGGTGTCTGCCAGCCAATCCAATGGCATGATCTTGCCACATTTCAAAACTGTCAAAGAATGTAAATGTGTGCATATATATATATATATGTGTGTGTGTGTGTGCGTATTATTTATATATTACATATATATACATATATTGCATTCCATGATACGCTTCTGAACTGCCACTTCGGAGACTACTTCATTACAGTACTGTAGGCATTTCAAGGAATGCGGAGGAAGGTGACGACTTGGGTGGGACATGGCCAGCCTTGGAGGGGTTCCATATGGTTCCATTCACAGAGATGTGTAGAAGAAACAGGACGATAAAATTATATATTTACAAGGTATATATATACATATATGCCATCTGGTTATTTAACATAGCCATGGAAAATCACCATTTTAAATAGGTAAACCCAGGTAAACCATCTATTCCTATGGGCCATTTTCACCATGGCGAACTGTTAGTCATAACCAGATGGTATGTATCATTTGTGCTATAGAATGCTATACCCTCTGCTTATTTAACATAGCCATGGAAAATCACAATTTTTAATAGGTACACCATCTATTTCTATGGGCCATTTTCCATGGCGAACTGTTAGTCATAACCAGATGGTAGATATATGACAAGATGATATTAACATCCTAGATTTCGGTGCCACTATGCCACTGCCATGATGATCCAGCTGTGCCACTGGGATCATTGCACCAAAAACCACAGATCCACCAGGAAAACGATAGGATTTCCCCGTGAAAATCCCATGAACTCCCCTTAAATAACAACAAACAACCACATGAAGCAGAGGGTACCCTCTGGTAAACTAACATAGCTATTGAAAATCACAATTTTTAATGGGAAAATCCACTATAAATGGTCATTTTCAATAGCTACGTTAAATTACCAGAGGGTATCTTTTTTTCTGGGGAAAAAAAATGATGAATCAATCTTTACCTTGGCTCAAGCTGTCAGCTGCCCCGTCATCATGGAGGTGCGCTTCCTGGAGAGGTTGGAAGTGGTTTCCCCCAAGAGATGCCGAAAACACCGCCGGGAAAGCTGGAAAAGATGTGGAAAAGATGTGGAAAACATCAGCGAAGTACCATCCTGGAATCCTTGTTTACACTTTTTCCATTTTTTGATATTTTTTGGGAGTTGCCAGAAAGGGGAAATAGTAGTATGAAAGAAAGGAATGTTCACATTATTCATGGGATTTGTGGCGCAGACAAAAACACGCAACTCTGATTCTTTGCTGAAAAACACTCGGTGTTTCCTCCAACAACATGTTTTTCTTGTGGAAGTTATGTAATTGAAGGCCAGAAAAGAAGTGAACATGGCAGGTTGATAGTTTTCAAGCACTTCTGGAAGGGACAACGTCAATACAAGCAGTGGTAAGTCATCATGGATACCCTCTGACAATCAAACATGGCCGTTCCCCAATTTAATTATAGACGTTGTTCTCATTTAAATCCCAACTTTCAGGGGATTTCCCATTGGCATCCATTGGCCATGTTTGATTACCGGAGGGTACTCATTGTGACATTCGTTATACATTCGTTAAAATTAGAACGACCGCACTATTCGACCAAACCCTATAGGAAAAGATGCTTACTTTGGTTGAATGCCTACTCCCAAGAATCGTCAACATATCGGGTTTTGGACATATGATTGGATCATTTGCCGAAATTGATTAATCGGACTGCTAGGTGATTTCAATCATTACCAGCAAAGGGTCTCAAGGGGTACATCACATGTCAGCATGCTAAGTGTTGAAATTTGGCTGCTACTTCAGAAATCCTCAAATCATCAGTAGGGCTACACAACAAAAATAAATCCCAAGAACTTAGAATAACTATGTGGATTATGGAAGATGATGTTATCCCAGTTGGTCCCAATATCATCCAATATCCAAAACAAAGCCCAGTTGGATGATAAACCAGGCTCCGCTCCCGTTCTCCTGGACCTTGCCGCGGGCTCCTTACCGAGGCGGCAAGCGGTTTTTGCAGGTTCCGGTTGACATGGCGATGGCCAGATGTGATATGTGAATGGTATGAAAACTGCTGGTTTCAGCTCTTGTCATTGTTATTCCGAATCATTGTTCCACCATAATTTATTTAGAATACCAAAATTGTTCCACCATATAATTTCAAGGATGATCCCATGACTTCTGTTTTAGTTTAGCTTGAAAACACCAGATGTATCTAAAGCCTGGTGGTTTTAGCTGGCCATTGACTACCTGGATCTTGGAATGTCAAGCCGCCATAACTTAACTACCCTCCGGTAGTCAAAAACGACACTAGAAATCCCATGAAATCATCTTGACAAATATCAAATACCAATATTTACTAGCAGGATCACCTGAAATGGATGTGTTTATGGCATTTTTCTACATTTTTCTTCTGATATCTATCTTTCGGCTAGGGTAGATACGTTCAAATTTCCAAGTGCTGCTTGTTTAATTCGGACAAATTCTCGTGCGACATGGGGGACGAATTTCCAGGAGGATTTTCTTTTTAGTCGATTCCAGAGTTTCATTTGGCTGATGGGGAAATGCCCAGCGGATTCGTTCCGGGCTGCCAGATCCTGGTGAGTTTTCGCCGGTCAGAGAGGTCCCATGGTGCATGCCATTTTCAGCTTGGTGAATGACGTAAGTTCACAGTACCACCCCTCTAGGACCCCCCTGAAATTTGGATGATATACATGTAAACACAGCATTTGGGTCCTCAACTTTTTCATGCATTTCCCTGCCCAGGGCCAAGTCAAAGCCCAAGCTTGTGCAGTGGGGAAAGGCCGCGTTTTTTTTTGGATCTCACGTTGTTTTTTTTTGGTGGGCCTAATCCCAAGATGGAAAATGATGTTGAAGCAAGGGATGTTGGGGTTCCAAACTTGGAGGCATCAGAAATTCTACAGCCATCCTGAAGTGAAATAGCAGTTCAGAATTTCAGAGTCAGCTTAATTTTCAATTTTTTAGTGATTTCCCCCTTGGAAGTGGTCCAACTTGAAATTCTCTTTGCTCCATGGGTATCCATGCGGATCATCCCAGTTGTTTGAGCTGCACTTTGGCTCAACTACTCAAGCTCCCGGATAGTTCACGTTTCGGCCTTTTCGCATGATCCGTAGGAATCTGGTTTACGAGATGCCCATCTGTGTTTGGAGAAGTTTGTTGATGTGTTCCAATCTTCTCATCTTTTCTGGTTGGTGGTTTGGAACTTGGAACATGGCTCTTATTTTCCCATATTTTCCCATATATTGGGAATAATAATCCCAACTGACGAACTCATATTTTTCAGAGGGGTTGGTCAACCACCAACCAGAGTATTAGTAACCATATATTAACCATATATTAACCATATATTTTTCAGAGGGGTAGGTCAACCACCAAGTAGTTTTCCTAGATGTTTTTCCAAGTGGATTCTCCGAACGCGGCCGTTTCCCCGCCAGGTGCTCGGTCCTGCTTGGCTCGATCTGGAGGTGCAGCAGCCATCGATGGCTGATTTCAGCAAATGGGCTCAACCAGCGAATTTCATGTAGAAACTGTGGATTTATATCGGGATTGATCATGGGTCATTAAATGTCACCACTGAACATCACCCAACCATGAGGTATCTCATCTATAATTGCCATTCAAAGGTGATGTCCAATAGCCCCAAAATGGGACATTTACCAATCCCTGTTGATACATCCAACACATGATTAACCACCAATTTTGTTTATTTAAATGGGTGAATCCAGCAATTTCCAGCGTGTTTGGATTGGGGGTGGCTGGTTACCCCAAGATTTGATTAACATTCCGCAAGGAGTGGACTGACAGTTGAGATATCAACCAGCAGCATTGTGGAGGGAGAAAATAATGACCTTTACTGCGATCGAACCCTGGAATGGTGTTTAATATGGGTACCTGGGTAATTTCAGGTTAGTGAAATATGATAGTGTACCCAGATGGAAATTGTATGCTGGCAGTCAGAGATTGCGATGTTCATGGGTGGTTTCATGTGTCCTTTATCAGGGGATATCTCACCCAAACGGGGATCTTAGGCGGCAAAATCACCACATAGAATCGGATCATCATATAGGTATGGGTCAAAATTGGGTACGGGTACCCCCATTTTCCCATGGTTTCTTGATTGTCAATATTGCTTCATCCATGTTAATTAATAGACGCACTGGTCCAGTGGTCCCTTGAGTCTTAAATTTTGACCCATACCTATACTTGTTTACCACATACCCTCCGTAATTTGTTTGGGGAAGCATGGCTCATAGCTATGTCACCTCACAGGGCTGGTTTTGATGGCAAATCGCCATGGATGCGCCAGGGGCAAGAGTTGGCATGTGGGATGGATGACCATGCCACATACAATCCCTTTCCCCTTAAAATTGACCCCCAGAAACCATCGTCTTTCGCATTGGATTTCTTCATCTTGGCGGCCCATCTAGCTGCTAATTCGGAGGAAGGGATTACCGGATTGCCATGTGACTTGGCCAAATTGGATATAGTTGGCTGAGCTGTGCATTACTGGTTGGTGGTTTCAAACATGGCTTTTATTTTCCATTTCATATATGGGATGTCATCCTTCCCATTGACGAACTCATATTTTTCAAGATGGTTAAAACATGTTAAAACCACCAACCAGAACCATTACTAACCGTTATTAACCATTACTAACCATATATTAACCATGGAAATCCCAGTGGGAAATCCCTATGGAAATCCCAAAAAAAACATGTAGAAATCCTCATGAAATTCCAGTAGATCAACCTATTTTCCCAGATCTTTGATCGTGAAGCCTTCAGTTTTCACCATGTTTGATGGTTAATCCTATTGCCTAATGTACAGTATGCCCATTCATTCATTGTGTTCCCATTACCCTCTGGTAAACTAACATAGCTATGGAAAATCACCATTTTTAATGAGAAAATCCACTATTAATGGCAATTTTCAATAGCCATGTTAAATTACCAGAGGGTATATTCCAATTGTGGTTACAACTAAGTTACAACCCTTATGTTTTGGACAAACAATATATATATATAGTTGTTTATGCACGTCATCATCACCAATATTCCCATAATATTCCAGGGGTTATTCAATCATGGTTAGTATCATATTCCAGTCATGGTTATATAACATTCATTGTCTGGTTATTAGCCGCTATATTAGAAATCTAATAACCATATAACCATTATTAAAGCCCATTAATAGGGATTCCCAATTGGCCATTATTCCCATTATATATTCTTTATGAAGATAACCTGATCTTCCCATTATTTATTGTATTGATATTCCCATAGTACACTAATAATACAACATATCACTGTTTTTTTTTGCCATACTAGATAATGATATTTACCATTGTAATGCCCATTATCAATATAGTAATATGATATATATGGCAATATCAATATTGATAATTACGTCTCATCATTGATATTGCTATATTCCCAGAGGATCCATGTATGGAATATTTACCTACATTGACCCCTAAAGTAATTTAAAATAATCCCAATGTAGGTAAATATTCCATACATGGATCCTTAGGGATTATTTCCATTAATTATTCTCGATAAGCCACGGTCAATCAGGACACTGCCCACAGTGCCTGCAGTGCTGCCGTGGGCCACGTGCGTCGCGCTGGCCGCGGCGAGTTCTCGAACCCGGACGTGCCTCGCGACCTAAAGAACTGGGGATGGGTCAAAACCTATGAAATCACCATTTTTCATAGGTAAACCATCTATTTCTATGGGCCATTTTCCATGGCGAACTGTTAGTCATAACCAGAGGGTAAGACCTAGGGGGACCTTAAGAATTTTTTAGTCTATTTCTTAGTATGAACAACCCAATGAGTATCCAAGTTTCATCCATAGCTGACTGGGGGAAGAACCAGCATGATCCCCAGGGCACCATCCGGGTGCCGTGGATTGCTGCCATAGAAAACCGATGTTCAGCTTGTGAGGTCAAGTCAGTGGCCATTTCAGGTACCGAAATTGAAGGTACCTATCATATATAAGGGCTATGTAAGGATATATCCCCCCAAAATATGGCCTTATATGGTACAGTACCTCTATTTTAGGGTCCGATATGTCCGTTAAGTAGAACCTATCTATATGTATGTATATTACATGATAAACGCACTATAATGGTTTCAAACCATTCGCTAAGTGGGATGCATATCGAAGCAGTTATGTTTGCTTGCTTTACCGCCACCACTAATTGGTTAACTAGTTCGATAATGTTCATACATATCTACTATACACGCTACTTATTGGAGTTATGTTTACCAATTTAGCTAATGATTTAGGGCGGCGCCACCTTGTACGAATATATACTACTATACAATGTTAGAACTCTACTACCAAAATGACGACAGCGATCATGACAGTCCTAATGACAGTGCCAATAACAACGATAATAGCAATAGCAACAAAACTGAGAATGCAACATATAACACACGCACACATAACATTCCATTCATGTTTTATTGGTACCTTGAGGACTCGAATGAACTTGATCCACAATCCTGACCTGGCAGCCTGGGCGCCGGCCTCGCTGAGGAAAAGCAAAAAGAAACGACCAGGGCTGGGCTTTAGCATGAAGAAAGTGTGCCTTGGACGGGCAATTGGAGGATGATGACAAGCATCTACAACCTATATACACATCATTACACATCGTGCTTTTCAAAAAATGCATTGTTTGAGAGAAATGACTCATGTCCATGGCCATTTCAGGAACCTCAATTGGAGGTACCCACCATATATAAGGCCTTTGTAAGGGAATTCCCATTACTCATGCCAATTTCCTGCTGCTGTTTGGCATGAAACTGAGCCTTTCATGCCGAAGGTTCGACGAGCCCTTGACGGACTACGACAGTGGCCCCAAGCTCTTTGCATCGTGGCGGAAGATCTTGGAACAGTTAAAAGGGACTGGGACAAAATTGGATGGTCTGGAGATGTTAGATTGATAAGGGTCCATATGCGTAACGTACAAGTAGATGTCATCAAATGTCGTTATATTGAATGTAAATTGTCAGTACGGTCCACCAATTCGGATACACACGACGCAATGTATCAGGGATAGGGCATGACAATAACAATTATAATAAGATTGCCATGGGTAAAGCCAGCAGAGGTAGCCGCATACTCAGGTTATCAAACATAGCAGTGGATGCTGCAGGATATGATGATACACTGCAGGTTTTCTACGCGATTTCCAGTTTTGTTCCGTCCACTTTCGATGTATCCCTCATCAAAAGAACCTCCAGTGCTGGATGATCAGGGTACAACAAGCCGTCTCAGTCGGCCAAAGGTTGCACTTTCAGTGCCTAAGGTTACCCCTTGAGCAGACCTTAAAGAGATGAATTAGGCACCTCTAATTCAACTACCTTTCAATATTAAAGCATTGCTGGGAACCCCCATTGAAATGGAGGGTTTTCCCCACCCTTTTCCCATGTTTGACCACATTGCCCACCTGCTTCCGTGTTCCCTTTGTGCCCAGGAGATATTGAAATATCCGCATCCTTCCTTGCGACGGCCCAACGAACTCGTGCCGCTTGGCTGCAAATCATGGAAAAGCCACGATTTTCTCAGGAAAAACTGGAGGGATTTCCCAGTTAGCCCTGGCTCAGGACACCAGAGTCACGTTTTGGCATTCGGTGACAGCAATGGGATAGTTATGGCTCATATTCAAGGTGATTGTTGTAGCTGCTTGGGCGGGCAGCAACCAGAGACACTTGGACACACAGGTTGGACTTGGCAAATTGAGCTGGAAAGAGGTTGTAAACAAGCCACCATCGACCGCGCCATTGCATCTGAAAAAACCCGAACCGGGGGTTGTGAGACTGTTTATTCTTGATCTCTTTCTACTTTGCGGCCGCATATGCTTATATGAGCAACCGCAAAAACCCCGGCAATACTAAATATGTATTCGACGGACATTGGTTTATGGAAATTGATGGAAATTGTTAAAAACACGAGGTAAGTGATGGGACCTTCCCAAATTAGCGATACCCCTTTTCAAGGTTATGTCATCATATTTCTCTAATATCCACATTAGCGATACCCAAATATCACATATTATTCATAGTTCATCACATATATATATATATACACGTATATATAAATGCAGCAGTTTCCTGCAAGCGATACCCCCCAAGTTTACCATATATCATTATTGTACAAACGTGTGGTAAGCGATGGGACCTTCCCAAATTTGTGGATGTCCTTTCCGTGAACCTAGGGTTTTCACAATCGCTCATATGTTGATTGGTAACGTTTGATTCGTACAACTTCCAGGAAATCCCCAACCCCAGTAGTTGCTAAGTTTGCTAGGATTTATTTTCATCCCTCACAATGCGCATGGTGATCCCAGTCCTTCTTTGATTCAAAGATACTCGATGACTTTCATGTTCTTCAGGGGGGGTGAAAGATAGAAAAATCCTGGATGGAGTGTAGCCATTCAATTTGAGTTTTACTGGTTTGGGGATTGGATGGATTAGCCATATAATATCTCATAACATCACCAACTCAGAGTAAAATAATCTTTGAGGACCAGCAGAGCCAGCACCAAGAGTTAGGATCATAAAGCACGAAAAATATGGACCGTGGTTTTATGACCATTTATTACCTATTACTCAAACCACACTAAATTGCTGGTTGGTGGTTTGGAACATGAATTTTATTTTTCCATATATTGGGAATAGTCATCCTAACTGACGAACTCCATCATTTTTCAGAGGGGTAGGTCAACCACCAAGCAGATTATTTTTAACCATCATTAACCATATAATAACCATCATCATTAACCATATATTAACAGTATATCAACCACAATGGTAGGTCAACCACCACAATAAATTGCCTATGACTTAGAACGTTTTTTCCCATGTCATTCTGAACGACAGACACAACCACAGGACGGAGTTCGGAGCCAGACTGAAGCAGCTGTGCCTTGCCGTTGCCTGATGATTTGGTGCAAATGATTGGGATTGTATACATGTATGATAATGTATGGAACTTAGCTATGGAAAAATGTATGATAATGTATGATAATGTATGACAATGTATGATAATGTATGATAATGTATGTAATTCAATTTAACGTAGTTATGGAAAAATCACCTTTTTTTCCAGAAGTACGGGAGCTGCGTGTAGAATTTGTGTTTACATTGTTTCAGAGACATTTGCGCGTCTGGGTCGGGTATTTGTGTGAATTTACTGTTTGGTGTCTTCCGATCGAAACAAGTCTACAAATCACGCTCCAAGCTGATGATGTGGTCACACTATGTCACACTTGTGAATCTTCCGGGCAAATAGCAATCAAAACTCAAGACCTTTTTTTCGACGAAGTGACCACCAAGATGCATCATGACGCATTGACCTCAAGTCTGCCGCAAATGATGAGTTTCTGCCTAAACATGGCAGTGTTCAAAAATAGTCAGCCGGTTATAGGTATATATATAATTATATATATATATATAATTATATATAATATATATTATATATAGGTATCAGTGCCGGGAAGCCATCCTGGGGGGCCAAATGGAGGTCGGAGAACCTCTTCCGTACCATGTACGCCCGGGACGATGGTTGCGGCTTAGCAGCGCCCCAGTGTGGCGTGAATCTGCGGGCGCGGCGGGCGGTTCATGGTGGTTGCAGGGAAGGGAGGAGAGAACCTTGTGAAAAATCGTGCCTTGCCTTTAAAATGGCCCTTTCAGTTGAGGAACCCAAGAGTTTACATGAGCTTACTAGGTTTACTGCCCTTCACCAGGATATTCCGTTGTAGCGCGCTGCATCCTCCAAGGGTTGCACTCGAGAAGAGGGATGCCATTCTGCTGTGAAAGATTGCTACTGAGATGACATTGCCCAGTTGACCCCTTTTGGTTGGCGAATTGGTGGATGTTCATAGTTTTCTGGAATCATACTAATTGCCAGGTCCCATTGCGGATACCCTCTGGTTATTTAACATAGCCATGGAACATGGCCCATTTATAGATGGTTTAGCTATAAAAAATGTTGATTTTCCATGGCTATGTTAAATAACCAAATGGTAAATCTGCCGTTTTAATCCCCTTTGCAGCACTGGCCTTTTGTGCTGCCACGGTGAGTTCTGTTAAGCGCAGGCCACAGGTCCCCATGTCCAGTCCGTCCTGGCCGCCAGGTCATGGTCTATAACTATCTTCGGACTCTCGAGTCTATCAATCCCGCAGGCCACGGCATTTCTATGGCGAAACATGGGGGAAACATGGGGGGATGTTGGACTGAAAAGTGCTACATAGTGCTACGCTGCTGGAGGAAATCGCATAGGTGGATTTGAGGCCAACGCCGCCAAGCCCATAGGTGGATGCAGGTGGCTATCCCTCAGTTCTGTATGGTACCAGCTTGCCCAGCAGTTTATCCAGAAATGGGGTACCTCATGGACCTCATTTTATGCTGTGTTCGTTTGTGTTCGTCTGTGTTCTATGTTCCTTTTAGGACTAGGAACATGCAAAACCCAGTGCAAAACATGATTTACTCGAGGATGAAGGCCATTTAATGCCTTTTGTCCCCATGAAGGCCATAGTACAGTATCCCCTGCGACCAATACCTAGTCCTACCAACGATTCTTGTCATTCTCAGTACTTACTTGTAACATCTTGTAACTTGGTATGTCAAAATTTGGTACTTGCATGAGAATCATTCCCTTTCATTTCTGATGAACATGAGATAGCCAACAGTGTCCAAAATCTGTCGTCCCAACCCCCGCATGACCCGTGGATCGTTGTCGTCAACAGGTGAGACGGTCTTTGTCAACCCACGGATCGTTGCGTCATCGGAGGACAAAGACGAGGACGATTTTGGGGGGATCTCATGTGCCGTGGGTGTCGTGGGGATTTCTGGAGCAAAGCGTCGTGGTGGAAAATGTGGGAAGGCCCGCTTGGTTGAAACAATTCAACTCAGAATGTAGTCATGAATCATGGCATAATTATATACCCTCTGGTGAACTAACATAGCAATGGAAAATCACCATTCTTAATGGGAAAATCCACTATAAATAGCCATTTTCCATTGCTATGTTAGTTCACCAGAGGGTAATCATGTTTATTTTCTTGGTCGTGGAGCAGTCAAGAAAATATTGCCAGGACCCATCCCATCCCGGGGAGCTGATTCCGTGATTTCTTCGGGGACATGGCAGGTAAATGATGCTAAAACTGCATCATTTCTATCACTTTTGGTGAATCATTGGTCAAAATGGCTATGGGTCAATACCATTCAATACCTATAGATACATTTTTAGGGGGATGAACATACATAAATCCCAGCTATTTTGATGTGAACTACAGGGGTACCAGGTTTTGACCCATCCCCAAATGACTATGAAAATCACTATGAAAATCTGCTGTGTAGCATGGTGCCAATGGTTCTCAAGATCTCCCGAGGCGAACGTATACAGTATTTTACTGGGCCATTGCAGGTACCTAAACCTGTACCATATCAAGCCGTGCTTTGATAAATATATATATATATATATTGGATTATTTTTTGGGTAGTATATCCCCCAAAAAATAGCCCCAAAAAAATAGACATCATATGCCTTATAGATGGTAGGTCCCCAACAAATAGCCCGTATGGCTCCAATGTCTCAGGAGGTCGAGGGCTGCTTATCCTTCCCCGGCTTTGGTGCACCTGTGATCCGCCCCATTTGGGTGGAGGTGGTTTGCCCGATGAAGTCCCCAATCTTTACCGTGAATTATATGCTTGATACCTATATAATTTTAACCATCATTAGGACTTTTTATATATCTATCCATATATATATATATATGATATGATATGTGAAGATATGGTTTTCCCATGTAAACCATATATCTGGTTGGTGGTTTGGAACATGACTTTTATTTTCCATTTCATTTATGGCATGGGATAATCCTTCCCATTGACTAATATTTTTCAGAGGGGTTGAAACCACCAACCAGTTATATAATGTGGTTAAAACAATGCCAAAAACCAACCATCCCCCAGTCATCACCATAAATAGATGGTATATATAAACTATTCCCAAATGGGTGGTTTATTATTGTTTTACCCACATTAATACATTTACGTATTAATAGATGATACAATATGCATAAAACAAATTATGCATATAGCACCCCCCAAAAAAGGATATGTCTATGTAAAATCCACATCTAAAATAATGGTGATACTGTGATACATTGTTTTTTCTATGGTTTGGGGGCTAATATAGTATAAAGCAGCTTGCAGAATCAATGGTTTGGAAATAATAGTGATGGGTTTGTTTGTTGATTTTGGGGTCTCATACGTGTTTCCCCTAATCATCCGGAAAACGGTATTCATGATTACCCTTCGGTAATCAAATGCAGCTACTGGTGTTTAAATTTCAACATACTCCATAGATGGTGGAGTCTCCATTGCCATGTTTGATTTCCAGAAGGGCAGCTAGTCGCAGCTAGCCTATTTTGTTCCCTTGCTGCCTGTGATGATTAATTCAAACATGATAGATACCGTTGGGATATGCCGAAGCTAGGTCCAGATAGGTGAAAATACTAATGATAAAGCCAACTTAAAAAAAAAAAAAACTTGGTGTTCGCAGATTTTTTAGTTGTTTTATGGCATTCATTTTATGGTGTTTTGGACATTTGGATCATTTGGTGGTTTCGTATTTTTTCAACCACCGGTATTGACCGCCAAACCCAGTCGTCCCAGTCGTCCTGGTAGGTGGAAGCAGTGGATTTGGAGGGCAAGCCGTCGCTCGGCTGTGTTGAAAATCCCTAAGGGTCATCGTGGGACATGGAGATGGACAGGACGATTGTAATACGTTGAAAAATAGGTAAACCATAGGTAAACCACAAGTAAGCCATTGTTTTTTAATTAATAGGTAAACCAATATAAGTAAACCATTGTTTTTTAAGAGGTAAAACGATAACACCGTTGGTTTACCAATGTCTTTACTGTATGGTCCTAACGCAATAAATTGAGTTGCCATGTTGGCTGCTACTCAGGGTTTTTTTTTGGTCATTTTGGAGGATTCTCTGGAATGGATAGTCAACCCGCCCAGAGGTAAGCCTTATGTGGTTGCTGTTGGTGGTTAGGAGCATCGACATTGGGCAATGCTGAACCCCCATCACTCTGTTTCCTGAGCAAAATGTGCCAGCAGAATTTCCAGAGTGTGGAACCTCGTCACCAAGAAAGTGCACAATTGCAAATGGTAAAGAGGGACTTCCCTTGGAATTTGCATGCTGGGCAGCTTCCATCGATGATTTTCCCATTCCAAATTGTGTTTTTTTTTTTTTTCCCGTTGCCATGTTGGGTTATGGGTGGCCCAGGTACACCAAACGATTGGAAGGCACCCGACCCGGAGGTTGACTTCATTTTGGTGCGTTGTTTGGTGCAAAAAGTGGCATGTTTCACCCAAAACTTGTGCCAGATTTTGCAGCTGCTAACCCCCAAGCAACCCCCATTTGGCTCGATGATTTTCCCGTTCAACCGCAATTGAGCGATCTTTGATTCACGGAGGATATATCTCTTCCTATCGTTGGTGATGTTCCTCTCATCCGTAGCCATCGTAGGGAGTTGTTGTGGACTATGGATAGGTCAAATCTTTGAAATGCATGTGTTTCCATGAGTTTCCTGATTGCCGTCACCGGTGGGGGAGGGGACCCTGTGTAAACTCCTGCCAGGCGAGGAGGCTCGTATTTTCCAACATGAATACGACCATTTGGATGTCGCCTGGCGTTCGACATGCGGGAAGCAAAAACAGCCGACTGGCCGACGACTGGCCATATGAAAATATCATAGATTACACATACGTATATACAAAAATTTGACGCATGTGATATCATATAGAATCTATAGACTCTTTATAGACAATATATGGATGACATGGGTGATTCTATGGTCAAACCAAGAGAATCGTCCGACAAATAAGAGCTGCTTGGAAGTCTGATCGGTGCTGCGCAGACCTTTCCAAGCTGAGATCCGAAAACGTGGCTTTCCTTGTACCCTCTGGTAAACTAACAAAAAGCTATTGAAAATGGCCATAGAAATAGTGGATTTTCCCATTAAAAATGGTGATTTTCCATTGCTATGTTAATTTACCAGAGGGTAAAGACAATCACTGTCACTGTCACGGCTTTGCAGCTTTGTCAAACTTTGACCTGGAATGGCTGGAATCGAGTTTGACATATGGGAGCGGCTTCAAATTGAGTAATTGATCATTTTTTTGTCAAGAAAGCAGCAATTGAATGGCTGATGCCATCTCCCCAGATGAAATATGAAACAATTAAACGCATGTCAGGGAGTTTGTCACTAGGGGGGATTGCTTTTTTGATCAAATCATCCTACATCTCCAGCTGCGACATGCTTCGCCATCGCTGGAGATTTAAGGGGACCATAGGGGACCTAAGCTTGAGTGCATATTGGAAACAACGGCTCATATATAATTGACATTAATTGACTGATATGCATGTTTGATGTTCGTTGATGTTTGATTCCATCATATTCCATCATATTCCATCATATTCCCGACACCTTTGCCTGAGGCATCCTGGCCACTTTCTCCTCTTCACGTCAATTTTCTTCTGCAATTTTCACCCTTTCTTCGCGTCGCCGCGTTGTGGCTCGCGTCGCGTCTCAGGGGGGGGTGTACATTGATCACGTGACGGAGGAGGACCGGCAGGTCATTGCGCCGCAGCTGAAGAGTCTTGGAGCTGTCGGCGCTGCCATGGAAAGATCCACCATGGCTATTAAAAAGGTAAACCATCTATATATTTCTATGGGCCATGGCTTCCATGGCTATGTTACTATGTTAGTCATAACCAGATGGTAGCTATGTTAGCAGAGTCCTTTTTTGATAAATCTATGTTATACGGTATACGTTCGATGAAAAACTCAATGATAGCTATGTTAGTGGGCTTCCTTCTATGTTGGAAACCTTGAGCGCTGTAAAATGATAGCTATGTTAGTGGACTCCTGTTCAAACTTTTTCTCTTGTGATTGTTGATTCTGTCCAATAGCTAGTGGTCTACGCAAAATGCTAGTCGGGCAGCCCATTCTGATAGCTAGGTTAGCAAAGCCAAATGCGAGAAACAAGAGCTACGTTAGATTACTGGAGAGTATACCAACCATCTTATGCGGATATGATATAATGATTATATAATGGGATATGTTAAGCAACGCTATGATATTTACCATCCATTTCTGGGGCACAGCAGAGCCCCCAAATGGGTTTATCTGAAAATAGCCTAGCTCTAAATCCATGCAAAAAATCAACGTTATAAGTTAAAATCAACATTGCATAACATTGCCAGACTTTTGGAGGTATACCAGTAGATCCCATTTTCAAACACACCTAGATTTGTTTTGCTCAGGAAACTGATGTCAGACTACTCAGCTGGAGGCCCAAAAAAAACTGTCGGGTGGGGCCTTGGGTGCAATTCTTGTGCCACGATATGGGCAATCATATCGTGCTGATGTGGGTGTAAAATATCAATATATATATATAAGAATGATAATGAAAGTATTCAACGTAATTATATATATGTATATATATATATGTATATATATATATGTATATATATATATAAGATTTTAAAAATTACATATATAATATATAGCATTGAATATACATATGATTTGGGAAAAAAAGGATCCATCATGGGCGAATCCATGTTAATCCAGATTTTGCATACCTGTCAGACGCGCACTGGCAGGTGGCAAAGACCCGAAGCCATGAGACCAGCAGATTCAAAAAAGGGCCCTAGTGGCTGATGTCGAAAAGCGGTTTCCCAAAGAAACTATCTAACATGTGTACTGGTTGGTGGTTTGGAACATGAATGTTATTTTTCCCTGTATTCGGAATAGTAACCCCAACTGACTTTTATATTTTTCCGAGGGGTAGGTGAACCACCAACCAGTGTAAGTTTTCCATATCTATGCTAGAGCTAGGTTGGTGGAGGGGGTAAGGTCCCCTGGACAATGATGCTTCGGATTGGTGTGGGCATCAGACGTGTGGGCTTCGGAGGATCGGCGGAAGGGGTTGACTGGGGTTTTTATGGGTTTTTAATCATGATCCGCGGCCCCCAGATAGAACATGATAGAAGCTTCGTTATGTTAGGACGGTCGAGATGATGATAGGTTTCCCTCATGGTTTCCAGGTTTCCCAACATTTTCCCAACATTTTTCCGATGTCCTCATGGAATGCAATGTTTGCGAAGATGTTCAGCTGCAAGCTCGCGTTTTAGATGATTCTGTATGATTTGGTCTTTTTCCCAAGTGCTTACTTGGGGAATCGATATACCCTCTGGTTATTTAACATAGCAATGGGAAATCACAATTTTTAATAGGTAAACCATCTATAAATGGGCCATGGGTTCCATGGCGAACTGTTAGTCATAACCAGAGGGTACCCTTTGGGTGCGACTCAGTGTGGAGAGGTACGACTTTGCCATGGAATATGAACACGTCCGAGAATGAGAAGTAGTTAAAACATGTTAAAAGTGTCCAGACATGTTTGAAGATACGAATTAACTAAGCTTAGTCCGTAGGATTGGCCATGCTTGCATAATTTTGGATGATTTTTGGAACCTATCGCCGCAGGAAATTGTACAGCGGTGCTGACAAGAGCCCTGTCTCATGGGATCCCAACAGAGAACCCCAAGGGGAAATGTCCTAGTTGGGATAGGGGGAGGTCCAACCCATGAAGTTCACCCCCAAGAAAAAATAAACATGGTTCAAGATTCACCCTGCAGTGGTTGTTGGTGAAGATTCGCCCTGCAAAAGAATTCTGGGTGTCACCAACCTGGGAAGGGGTTGAACCTCTATGAGTGTCGCCCAGCATTTGTGCTCAAAACTCTTTAAGTTTTGGGGGGAGACCCCACGGAAGATCACAGGTGCAGGCACCGGGGGGGGGGGCTGTTGTGGCTGTTACTCCCCGGTTGACCCTGAGTCATTGACACGGAACCTCAAACATGCGGGTCAGGCAACGTCTGGAAGATGATTTGTTTATTGGCAATTGAGGTTAGTTTTGAGAAGCGTAAGTGAGAAATCCTGAAGGACGGTGCTATGCCAAATGCTTTTTGATGCTTGTTGCATTCCTCCCCCAATAAAGGTGGTGACCCCGGTGACCCCTTTGATCAGGTTTTACCAACCAATCACTGGGATTTGGATACATATATATATATTTATGGGTAGGGTAGTATGGGTAACAAGCTTGCAAATGGAAGCAGCATAAGTAAACAAACACTCCTTAGTAGCAAAATCATCAATAGATAATTGGCATGCAATAATTCCTCCAATCATCTATGCCCTCCAGTAATTCAATACAGCTATGGCAAATTTTGGAAACCCCATCATGAATGCAAATGTTTGTCCAAACAGGAAGCAACCATGGATTTCCAGATCCTTTTTTTTTTGATTTACTGCCGGGTATAGCTGGAAACGTTTGACCGTTTGCCTGACATTTTTTTCGACCAAATCCACTGCCTCTGGGGGATGATTACCGCCGAGAAAATCTCTCAGCGGATCTCAGCGGTATAAGTTGGAATAAACCATTATAACACCTATATCATGATTGATACCTATATAATTTTAACCATCATTAGTTTTTTTTTTAAAATATATATATATATATATATATCATTATATATCTATATGATTTATATATATATATATGTGTGTGTGAAGATATGATTTTCCCATGTAAACCATATATCTGGTTGGTGGTTTGGATTTTTTTCCATAATATATGGGATAATCCTTCCCATTGACTTTCATATTTTTCAGAGGGGTAGGTCAACCACCAACCAGATATATGTTAAATTTATCCATATATTTTCCATGAATTTTTCCATATATTTCAATACATGTGTAGATATACCACTTATCCATATTTTTTTCATATATCCATGGTGGACCCGTCCCGTCAGACCGTCAGATATCGTCAGATGGTCCACTTCGATTTCGAGCAGCGCGGTGGCCGCTTGAAACTCCTCCAGAGTGAGGAGAAATCCATGAGAAATTCATTGGATCTATCACGTGAAATATGTCGACTCAATGAAGCTCATTTCCCTTCAATTACCATGAATTACGTGGCTTTTTTCGGTTCAACAACCCTACTTTAATGCGAATTCAGTGGGATAAACTATGATAAACCGATAATGGTACACTTTGGGTTCAACTGGGTTTGTACACACATGTGTACACCAAAGAAAAGAAATGACTTTATAAATTGCAACGACAAGAGATCGATTCGTGGACACCGCATGTGAAGTTTGAAAATCTTCACCAAGGCACTGTAAACGTTTACTGTTTGCGAACTGGAAAATCACCATGGAGAAAATAGGTAAATCAACTACCAACCAGTTTCTATGGCCATGTTCAATAGTTATCTTGAAAAAACCAGAGGGTAGTCTTTCAACCTGATATGAAAAGCTGAGTAAAAGCTGACCGCTTGCATCCGCAATTTCTGCGGATGTTAATCAGGATCATCCTGTTTTGGTGTCAGCGAGCTACGGTAAGCCTTGTAATTGTACCTTTTCTATCCTTTTCCGAATTTTTCTTCTTTTCAGTGGAATCGACACTGATGAACTTGCGATTCCTCATTGGATGGTGAAAGTAAGGTCCTCATCTTCAATTTCATTGTTTAGTTTGAATTGACTTTTTTGGGGCATGTCCCACCACATGCCTAAAGTGACCAGTGTAAAGTCACTTGACCTGCCAAAAGGTATGACCAGCACGACTCCAGAGACCGTTTTCTTCTTTCTTTTTTTGCAGCAGTTGTTTTCTTAGATTCTTAGATGATCTTAGATGTTTTTGCTGAGTGTTTGATCGGCAACAGAAATGGCTGTTTGAATCTGTTTGAACCGATTTTGGATTTGTCTGCAGTCTGAAAATGGAACACTCCCAAATCTATTTATCCTTTTCCCATTCAAGTGGACAGATTTCTTGTTATATAATCGATTTTCCCGGATCCCGTTAATCATGATCTTCAATGATCGGATGACTAACCATTCTGATCATCTTCCTAGTTTGGGGGCGACACGCGGCACAGCCCATGGTTTTCCAGGAGGGTGGTGACACCATGCCCTTCCGGCAATGCCTGCCAGAAACTTGGATGTAGTGAGTCGGTCCTATATGGATCTACATGGCTATGAGTCAAGGGCCCCCACCCGGATGCCCCAAGTCATAGATGGTTACTATAATATGGTGAATGGAAGTTATAGGTTTTTACCCATCACCATTTGCATATTATATACGTGTGCTGTAGGTGGTATATGTTTCTTTTTGATTATCATTTGTTATTGTGTCTATCTATGCAGATATGTTTATATGTTTTTTAAAAGAACTATTCATTCTTCCTTCCCCAGTTGAAGGTGTATCCACAACCGTGGGAGATCTACTCTTCCATTTTGGATTTTCTCCCAGCGCAAATCCAAGGAAGAGATAAGGGAGGCTATGCTGAAGTTGAAAGAAAAGTTGAAGATCGTCAAAGAAGCACGCCGCTGCTGGGCAGCAGGAGCTGGCAAGTTTGAATCTCCACCTTATCTTCAAGATTTTCTGATCATCAAAGATACCAAGATGCGTGGCCAGGTTAGATTCTTTTGAGATGAGGTAGATCGTGTCTATCCTCCAATGCCTGAAGTTCTTGATTTGGATTGTGGCCGTGACCGGTATGTGTCGCAGCAGCGTACCACTGATAGAACATTAGATCAACCTGAAGGTTGTTCCAGTTGAAACATGTCTTGCAATGTGAGCAGCCAGGGTAATTTGCTTGTCCGGCCATTGGTGTGTAAAGGGGTGAGGGATAGTTGAAGATCACCACACCATGACACCATATCACACCCATATATGTGTGTTGAGTTGCTGGAATCCACTTTCATGGGCACCAATATTTCTTTGCAGATTTTGTTCCTGTAGTCGCTGCCGATAGAACTGGGTTTCCTTGACATGGAAAGCCAACAGAAAAGAAAACCATACCAGTTTTACTCTTGCAGGGATCTTGCAAACCTTTCAACAATTAGATTTTGGCTTATAGTAACCCCCAAAAAAATGGAAAGTGTTCATTTCAATCCTTTTGGGGATTGCTATATCAAATTGTTCAAGGTGGTTTCAATTTCCCCCAGAAAAACAGCTCCAAGGGCTAATCTGTTTGGACCAAGGGCAAGAACAGTCCCAAAGGCAACAGAACTGGACGAACTTTGGACGGCACCAGTCCTGGCATATCCTGGCTCACCTGGTGGTTTCAGCTATGGTCCAGTGATCATTGGGGGCTCACATGAAGCCCACTGACGTTGCATGATGGGTAGCATTTGTGAAAATGATTTCGTTACAGTAGATCTAAGCCATCAGTAGCATGATGTCCTTTTCCCATTGGTTGGTTGGTTGGTTGGTTGGTTGGTTGGTTAATAGAGGGGTTTGAAGAAACCCCTTTCACAACACGTAAATGATGATAGTCACTTAGTCCATCAGCATGAGATAGCCCATCTTTTTCGCAACGAGGATCTGTGGTTTTCCCCAGACGCTGTCACAGATCCAGCGCGGCTGTTTTTATGTGGCGATTTCTTGGGTCTTCCCAAGGGTTCGGCCATGGAAACCAAGAAAGCCATGATGTGTCCAGGGTACATTAACTAGGAACCTACAGATGTACCCTCTGGTAATTTAACATAGCTATGGAAAATCACCATTTTTAATGGGAAAATCCACTATTAGTGGTCATTTTCAATAGCTACGTTAAATTACCAGAGGGTATATAGTAATTATAGTAATTACAGAGGGCAGCGAAGTTGTTTTCTCTTCCTATCCCTGTTTAGGAATGATGAACCCCAGGCATCCCCAGGTGGTGACGTTTTTCAGATAGCACCAACTGCCGCTAAGCAGCAGATCTGGGACGCAGCGAGTTTTTTTCGGCTTCACTCCAGGAAGCATCCAGAATGGTTGTAATCTCAATCAAGCTTTGATTAGTGCACCAGGTGAAAACTACGGCCTTTGACCGTCCAGTTGCCAAACTTCGCGCTTAGCTCCTGCCATCGCCTGAGGATGGTGGAAGAATTCCTGAGCTCCCACCAATTCGCTAAAGACGTGTTCCCTGGCGAAGACGTCTTGGCGCTAAGTCGGACTCAACCCGAAGATATGCTGTTGATGTTAAAGAAAGTTAAAGGTGTTCTGGATCCAATTGGCCAGCAGGGGGATGGGTCAAAATCTAAGATATCTGAGGCCCTACCGAGCATTTTGAGTCATTCTGTGTAATTATTCAACTTGGTACCCGGGCTTCGTTCACAGGCGGTCACGGTTTTCATCTTCACGTCATTACTCAGGTCTTTTTTTTTGCATTTTCGTATGAAGCGGGCCCGCACCTAAATTACTAGTTTCACCCTTGTTTCGCACTGGCCTGGCTCAGCGTTAATACCAAGCTTGCATTCACGAAGGAGCGGGCTCCGCTCAGACTACGATTGACGAGAAGTAGTGTGCCAAAAAAAATACACACAATAACAATGGGATGGTTGGCTAGTAGAAAAAATGGTAACATCCATTTTTGGGACTACTAATTTTGCCCCATACCGTATACCCATATGTCTGGGGATGTCTGGGGAGAACCTTGACAGTGCTAGACTAGACTCAAAATATCTGTGTGACACATGGTTCACACCCTCCACCTTGCAAAAGATGCAAAATCATGTATGGTGATATTATTCACCTTACAACATTACCTGGTTGGATATTCCATTGACTCGGGCCTTTCCGCTTCTCAAGCCAGCTCGGACTGCCTGGAGGGTCATCCAATCAATAGCTGATACATCACTACGTAATTATACATACGTATAACAGTGTATAACTCTTTCTCGTAAAATGACACCTCTATCAACATCCATTAAAACTCATTTACATCCAAGTAAATCCTATTAAAATCATATTAGAACACCTCCATCAACATCCATTAAACGACCCTGGTTTCTGGAGCTGCAGCCATGCTACCTCTGGATCCCAGGAATGCGGTGAAGCATTCGTACCTGGGCTTCGTGCGCACCTATCCCTTACATCAAGTGTCCTGACTCAGTCACTGGAGCATGGGAGAGATGGTGCAGTTTATTAAGGAAAAGCTGATTTGATTAGTTAATATCAGTTAATATCACTTACACATATATATATATATAGAGAGTATCATTATTTCATTATATATATATATAGATAGTATTTATGCACATGAATGTTTTGCATATACGGCATTTACATATGTACATATGGAATAGAAAAATAAATGAGAGGGCGATGGAGAGAGAAATATAGTGTAAATGTAAATGTAAATATAAATAATAATAAACATAAATACATGAAACAAATAAATACATACATATACATACATAAATACTTCAATATCAATATAAATGTAAATATGAATACAAATAAATAAATAAATACACACACAGATAGATAGATAGATAGATAGATAGATTAGATTAGATTAGATTAGATAGCTAGCTAGATAGATAGATAGATAGATAGCTAGATAGCTAGCTAGCTAGCTAGATAGATAGATAGATTAGATAGATTAGATAGATTAGATAGATTAGATAGATTAGATAGATTAGATAGATTAGATAGATTAGATAGATTAGATAGATTAGATAGATTAGATAGATTAGATAGATAGATTAGATAGATTAGATAGATTAGATAGATTAGATAGATTAGATAGATTAGATAGATTAGATAGATTGGATAGATTAGATAGATTGGATAGATAGATAGATAGATAGATAGATAGATTAGATAGATTAGATAGATTACATTAGATTAGATTAGATTAGATTAGATAGATAGATAGATAGATAGATTAGATAGATTAGATAGATTAGATAGATAGATAGATTAGATAGATTAGATAGATTAGATAGATAGATAGATAGATAGATAGATTAGATTAGATTAGATTAGATTAGATTAGATTAGATTAGATAGCTAGATAGATAGATAGCTAGCTAGATAGATAGATAGCTAGATAGCTAGATAGCTAGATAGCTAGCTAGCTAGCTAGATAGATAGATAGATAGATAGACATGGGCAAATTATTTAAAGGCTTCCGCCTGACAGCCGGCCACTGGCCAGGGAGGAGGGAGGTGATGTTGGGCCAGCTTGGGGGCTGTTGAAGCCATGTTGAGGCCATGTTGGGGCCAGGTTGGACCATGTTGTGGCCAAGTTCCCATCTAGGGGTCATGTTGGGACAAAATGACCCAAACATATTGTAAAACACAGCTGTAAAACACTGCATTTTTTTTGGCTCAGAAGCCACAACACACCGTAAAATACGGGGGGTGGCAGGGGGTCGGCACACAGTTGTGGGGCCATGTTGGGCCAATCTTGGGACATGTTGGGGCCATATGGAACCCCAAAACCACCAAAACACATTGTAAAACACGGGTTTTCCAACGGAACCCACTTTGAGGCCAAGATGGCCCATGCGGACGCTTTTAAGGCTCATGGCCCATGTTGGACCATGTTGGCCCATCTTGATGCCACCTTAGCTGCAAGATCAGCGACATGTTGTGGCCACGTCGTGGGCCCTTGGGTCGAAGATGCGCTATGATAGGCTTCTTGCGCCCGCAAAACAAGGCATTTTCTGCCACTTCCCACTTCGATACCACGATGGCTCGTGTTGAGGCTTGCTGAGGCCAACTGAAGCCTTTTGGGATCCATCTTAGGGCCAAGTCATGGAGGAGCATGCGTAGTAGCAGCGGCAGCAGCAGTAGTAATTGTTGTTGCGGTGGTTGTTGCTCTTCTTCCCTTACTTGCTCGGCCGGGGTCGGCGGATATACCGTATAGATTTATGTATACATTTATGTTTACATACATGTTCAAGGATATTCCAGTAATTTGCAAGGAACATACCTCTATATTACATGTGGAAATGATGAACAAGTGTAGAATGTATTGGAAATACCAGGCAATTGGGGACCTACACACTTCCAGATTGCATTTATGATTTTCTGCAATTCTGCAGCTATTTGCAGACCTTCACACTATTTTTTACATGTTTTTTCATTTTACTACATTTTTTAAAAAAAATGCAATGGACAATATTGAACGCCCCCCTGCGTTTTTTAAGAAAATAAGTGAAATCCCGTAAAAAGTGAGGGGACCTACGAAAATGAAATCTTGCAAATAAGACGTTGTTAGAAAATAAATGCTTGCCAACATTTAACAGGACCACCTCCCTCAAAAACGTCTAAATTGTGTCTTGCAATTTGGGTACGCCCCCCCTCCTTAAAAGGGTAGTGATTATATAAGTAATGTATATATTATATTCTCGTACATGTGCATGTACAAACACGTACGTACATACATTTGCCTACATTCACATGGATTTACATGTTTTTACACATATAGGTACAATACCTTCCTTACTTGCCTTTTAGTGCATTACACTGCATTACATTACTACAGACTATGTTATTGTTTGGGGCAAAACAAAGATATGGCCAGCATCGCAACTGTCTAGGCAGCCAAAGATGGCAACTGGCAGATGATGGACTTGCTCCTGAGTTTTGGTGCTGACCCAAAGCAAAAGGACAGTGCCGGGAGGTGCCGGCTGGTTGGCGGATGGTCAGGTGAAACATGGGGAAACCGGTGGTTCGTCTGTTGTTATTGGGTAGTGAATGATGTATTAATAGCACACACGTATGTATATATATATGTAGTTATATAACTATATGATTTGACTTTTACATAATGTAAATGCATATGTATGTATATATATATGTATATGTATTTGTATATGTATATAGATAGCCATTAATCCTAAGGATATGGAATTTTTCACTGTTGGCTTCCCCAAGGCATCCTCGGAATCAATTTTTTTCAAACGTATGCATAGAATCATACAGTTGACCTCTAATCGGGATGCTACATGTTGCTAAAATTTTGGTCCAACTTGTTGGACGGGAGGACACAACTTTCCCACGAAGACCTTTTTAACTCCACCAATTTATCCGCGTAAATTGAATCATTCAACCTTAAGGTGTTTTGAGTTTCATTTCCAAGCCCAGCTGGGCATAGCTGGGCGTGGGACAAGGGCAGCGTTGCAGCTGTTTGACTGTCCAAACCAATAATCTAAATCAGGAAGGCAAAATCCATACCAATGATAATAATGATACAACGAAAATAAAAAGTAGTTCTGGGACCAGATAGGGTTGTTTTTCACAAGGTGTTTGGCGAAAAAAAAACGGCAAGGTTTCCAAATTGATACGTTTCTTATTACTTTGTGTATTGAAAATCGTTTTTTTGTTGCAAAGGCACGAATGGTGTTACACCCACTGCAAAATCTTGCCTTTGGAGTTAGTTTCAATCTCCGAAACAATGGTGCAAACATCACACATAGGAAGAGTTCCTTCATACCCTTGCGTGTGCAGATACAATCAGATACATACAGAATATGGAATCGGATGCCTGGAGGCCCTAGAGCATCTCCCAAAGTTCAAAAAAAAACAGACCAGAGCAGGAAATCAATGTTTTTTGTTGCATGATATTGCATGGATAATATGATAAACACACGTGCCAGAAAAATGTCAAGATGTGTTAGACTACCTGTTAGACTCTATTTCAGGGTAAATGTGAGGATATGCCAGAACTCATGTCTGGATGAATGTCTTACGCCAAAATATATGGCCAAACATGTCAGGATATACCATCTGGTTATTTAACATAGCCATGGAAAATCCCAACCATAAATGGAGGTTTCTAGCTGGGAACATCATATAAATGGGCCATTTTCCATGGCTATGTTAAATAACCAGAGGGTAAAATATGTGTTTGATGAGTTTCCACCATCCCAGCTACTAGCGATTCATGACTCTTAAGCGCACCACTTTTTTTCTCACGGTGGACCGTGGCGGAACTGCCTGCCTTTCTAAAGGTAGCTGAATCACAACGAAAAAAACCGGCCGAAAATTATGATACCGGAGCATAGCTATGGAATTTATAGATGACCTATCAAAATGATGATGTTCCCTAGCTACGTGCACTAATATATATATATACATTGATTGGGTTAACTAAAAGCCTTCAGGCTTCATTCAAGAAATGGCATTCAGATGGGTGAAACATTGAAACTTCCCCTGCATTTGCCAGGAGAGGAAGTAGAATAGCCTTCACAGCCTTCACAGCCTTCACGATTTGTAACACATTGAATCAGAAGTTTAGACTATGAAGAATCACCCATTCACAATCTGTTTATGTCTTTCAACGCCCTGCAATGGACAATGGATGATACCCTCTGGTAAACTAACATAACTATGGAAAATCACCATGCTATTAATGGGTAAATCAACTATTTCGATTGGGCCATTTTCTATGTCGCAAACTGTTAGTGTACCAGAGGGTACATAATAAAACTAGATCTGTCGGTGCAGGTGTGCCATTCAGTACACCGTCCGGAGATCCGGCTCTGGCGGATTCGTACCATGAGGGGGCAACCGTTGCGCCAAGTTATGGTGGCCCAAATTGGGGTTCAAAAAAGACCGTTGTGGAACACCGATGGGTGTGAAAATAGTTGTGCCATGTTATAATATGTTAAAATTCGAAGTCTGCCATCAACATTCAGAATGGTGATTTTTGATGGATTTTTGATGGAATTTGGAGGTCCTCCGAGATGAGATAAGTGAGCACGTCGTCAAACTTCTCCAACGCTGCAGTATGTTGCGGCTTGGATTCGTGAAGAATCACCCCAGAGCCAAGATGAAGTTTATATATGTTTATATAACCTTCATAAATTTAATGGTTTGCTATTGCAAATTGAAAATGGTCAAGTTCTATTTTAATTATATATTTGCATTTTATGTAATATATTATGTATATAGTAGCCCCCAAAAATGATTATATACATATAAATATGACGATTTTCCATAGCTATGGGCATGTTACATTACCAAAGGTCAAGTCCCCTAGTGCCAAAAAGTCTCCACTTTTCACAGAGGATCAAGATGGATTATGAACTCTACGTTTCATTAATCCCGACAAAAGGAACCTTAATACAGTAACTAGTTCATCATTAACCAATTCTTGTTCGATTTAACTTCTGATTTGTTTGGCTGGCGGCTATGCAAACATATGCCTGGTTGGTGGTTTGGAACACTTGGATTATTTTTCCATATCTTGAGAATGTCATCATCCCAACTGACTAATATTTTTCAGAGGGGTAGGTCAACCACCAACCAGATACAGACTATTGTAGCCTCCAATAGATTTATAGGCCATCATTGCCGGGGTGCCATTTCGCATCATGACGCGTTCTTCGGAACTCGAAAAACTTTTCGGGTGTCTTTTCCCAATTCAGCCAGGAGTGACATTGATCCTCAATCCAGGCTACCCCCGAAAAATAGAGCAAGAAGAATTCACCCTGATTTTCGTAGCATTTAGATGATATTTAGATGACCATTGCCAGGACTGACATGACAATTTGACGCGTGCCATTTGTACAGATACCTCGATACCTCACATCTCACTGTCAGATGACCGAGCAAGGGACTCCTGACCTCAAAATCTCAGGCTCCTGACAGCAGCAATCAGGCTGTCGCCCCGGTTCTGGTTTGTCGCCCGAATTTCAACATTCTGAGACCCATACCACGGTAGAGGGTAGAGGTATGAGTGAAACTCGGTATCCCCAAATCCCATGGCTGGCAAATCAGATTGGTGAAGATCATTGAATTTGTCCAAATGGTATCACGACCCAAGGCCCTCAAGGATACTCAAGGATACTCCAGGGTTTTCAGATGCTCCTCCTGCCCAGAACGGATGTGTTTACCATTTTCCACTGGATGTTGGTCCATGTTGGTACCAATTGTCGTACTTGAATTTCCGGAAGCTGGTGAGCCCCGAAAATCACCTGATTTCACCTCCCCAAAATCCAGATAGGACAATTAGAATTAGAAAAGTAAAACCCAATCCGAAATGACTTGTCATGTTTTTTTCCCGAATGCGTAGCAAGGGTTCCCGTTTCACTCTGGGGGTCTGGGGGTTGAGGGTGTGTTCGCTCGACGTTGCGTTCACGGTAGCAACCGTCCGCAACCGTTCGCAACCGTCCGTACGAACTCCGTATGGCCGTGCCTATGGGAAGTTTTGCAGAGGTGGTCCTTTTTGGAGGTTTCAGACGCGTCGTTGCTTCGTTTCGCGTGGCAGGCGTGGCACTTCGTGGCATTCAGACGTGTTCTGCAACGTGTCGAAAGTCGTTTTGCGTGGCAGGCGCAATACTTTTGTGCCGTTTTCAGAAGATGTGTTGCAGTTTTCGTGGCAGGCGCAGCACTTTGGACGTGTCCATCGTCATTTTTCGTGGCAGGCGCAGCACTTTAGACGTGTCATGTTGCGTGTTGTTTGCAAATCGCATTGGCAGGGCTGCGTCAAGTGGTGACAAGGTGCAAATTCCGTGGCAGGCGTGGCATTTTCTGACATGTGCTGAAAATTGACGGGAGCCTCGCACGAAACATCGATTTTGTGGTTGCAAATTTTCAAGTTCTAAGGAAAGCTCGTAGGAAAACGTCGATTTTGCAGCTGCAAAGTGTGCAAATTGGAGGAAGTCTCGCACGAAATGCTCGTTTTGGTGCTTCCACCTGTCTCGTGTCGCGTGTCTGGTTTTCCTGTGGCCTCGCCGTGTCTATGGGGGAAGCTGCAAAACTTGTCCTTTCGTCATGTTGCCAACTGTGGAAATTGCCGGACGTCTCGCACGAAATGCTGTTTTTTCTGCATCCACGTGTCTTGTCGCGCGTCTCTCGTTTTCCTGTGGCGTCGCCGTGTCTATGGGGGAAGCCGCAAAACCTCTCCTTTTCGAATGTTTCCACGCAGGTTGTCATGTCGTTTTGCATGGCAGGCGTGGCACTTTGTGACATTCCAACCTGTTTGATAACGTGTCGAAAATGTCAAAGTTGATGGAAATCTCGCACGAAATGCTCGTTTTTCTGCACCCACGTGTCTTGTCTCGAGTCGCTGGTTTTCCGGTGGCGTCGCCGAGACTTTGGGGGAAGCTGCAAAACCTCTCTTTTTCGATCTTTTTCGAAGGTTTCCAAGCAGGTTGTCATGTCGTTTTGTGTGGCAGGCGTGACACTTTGTGGCATTCCAACCTGTTCGAAAATGTCAAACTTGGAGGAAGTCTCGCACGAAATGCTCGTTTTTCTGCACCCACGTGTCTCGTCTCGAGTCTCTGGTTTTCCTGCGCCGTCGCCGTGTCTATGAGGGAAGCTCCGCACTCCACACTCTACACTTTACACTCTACAATGCAAAACTTTAGACTCCACACTCCACACTCTACACTTTACACTCCACACTTTACACTTTGCACTTTACAGTCCTCGCTCCTCACTCGAGACTTTACACTCCACACTCCACACTTTACACTCCACACTCCTCACTCTACACTTTACACTCTACACTTTACACTCTACACTCTACACTCCACACTTGACATTTTACACTCCAGACTTTACACTTTACACTCCTCACTCCACACTTTACACTCCACACTCCTCACTTTACACTCCGCACTCCTCACTTTACACTCCACACTTCACACTCCACACTCCACACTCTACACTTTCCACTCCACACTCCACACTCCACACTTTACACTCCACATTCCACACTCTACACTTTACACTCCACACTTTACACTTTGCACTGTACACTTCTCACTCGACACTTTACACTCCACACTCCACACTTTACACTCCTCACTCTACACTCCTCACACACTCCACACTCTACACTTTACACTCCGCACTCCACACTCCACACTTTACACTCCACACTTTACACTTTACACTCCTCACTTTACACTCCGCACTCCTCACTTTACACTCCACACTTCACACTCCACACTCCACACTCTACACTTTCCACTCCACACTCCACACTCCAGACTTTACACGCCTCACTCCACACTCCACACTCCACACACTACACTTTACACTCTACACTCGACACTCTACACTTTACACTTTACACTCCTCACTCCACACTCCACACTCGACACTCTACACTTTACACTCCACACTGCAGACTGGTAACAGGGGAAATATGTACAAGACTGTTCAAATAAACTATTCCAGAAAAGTGTTCTGCGTGATTGCATATCCATGTGTTTTGACATCTGTACCATTAACATACGTGTGAGCATTCGGGTTCGTGGGCTGCATCTTGTTTTGAATTTTGAGGGCGTTACTCAGTTGCTAAAAAAAACCTGGGGTATTAGTTGAAAACCCATGAAAGCCCATGGTTTCCCGTGCGGAGTTCTTGATCACCGAGCGGCTTTTTTTGGACCAACAGATTTTTGAACCGATAAAAAACCCAACACGGGTGGTAACCCAACGGCTGGTATTTGTTCAGGACATGGTTGGACGGTCCCTAGATGTTCCCCTTAAATTCCCCAAATAAATACCCTCTGGTAAACTAACAGTTTGCTATTGACCAAATATCACAAGAAATCGAAACAATAGAAATGGAGATCCATGGAATCGTTCTGAATTTTAATGACTTGACAGTTTGAGAAAACAACAATTCTGTATCAGCGACACCAGTGCGGGCGTGACCGGTGGCCAAAAGACAGGTCCAACAATGCGGGCCGCAGTCAGAGTCTGTTCCACCCTGTATGGGAAAGCGCCGATGGTCACTCAATGTCAAGCATCAGCACGTATTTGAACATGTTTGAACATGTTTTTACATCCAGTCCAATCGCAAGGTGGTGCCCCATAGTTAGCTAAGCTGGTGTATAACTTCAATAACTGGGGTTTATGATACATATGAAGCATATATCTGCAACATTCTGCAACTTATTTGGAGTTAATGGGGGTTCTAATTCTAAACCAGCTTAAGACTGGGGGGAGCACCACCATGTGTCATCCAATCAACATCTGGCATTTGGATGGGATGATGAAATGTGCTTACCCAACTAAGCGGCTTGATTTCCATGAAATTTTAGGAGACTCATGTTTGTTTTGCTATCCAACTATTTTTTTTGTGTTTTCGTAGATTTCGAGCAGAAATCGATGCTAGATCATAGGCACATGACGGCACATGCTTGTTTTTGCCTTCTCAACACAGTCCCTGGACACGTCTGGGGGCGTTTGAACATGGGGTATACCGCCAGAATGGAGATTCTAACGCGGAAAATGGATGAACATGGCCATGAAGCAGTGGATTTATATAAGGGCTCCTTACCCATGTATCACTATATAATCTCCAATTTTCCCCCATTGATGTGCCACTAAATCATGCATCATCGTTACCCTTGGCTGCAATCACATGATTGATTAGGGTATGTTTGGACAACCCAGCCCTACCCAGCGTTGCAGCATTGCAGCTTGCAAAGCATGATCCAGTCTGCATTCTTTGCATTCCTTCGGCGATGAGATCGTTCGAGTGCTTGCACTAATTCTCATCACGGCATACACACTGAACCCGAGACTTTTCTTTCAATCTTGGGATTGGGAATGCTGTGATTACAGCTCGCCAAAATTCATGACATTTGAATGCCTTTACTGTTGGCTGATGCAAGTGGTTGCTTCCCTTTTCAT